AAGTTGAAAACTGCAATGTGCCATTGCAAACGCGAAATGAAATGTGCCAACGAAAATCAACCGAAAATAAATTGAATCAGTCTGGAATGTTCTGCATAAATAATAAGAGGAGTGAGAAAAAAGAACGGTTCATCACTTCTACTCGCCTCGTTTTGCAATTAGCTATGCAAAGAAGTGTATTGTGTATGAAAACTTACGAGATCTACAACAACACAACCAAATGATATGAATTTGGTGTTATAACCAATTATACCGGCTATAAATTGTTCTCCCACGCAATAGAATAGATTGTCGATAATAGATTTGAATACAATTGGGAAGGAAAAGATTTGTCAGTTCATGAAATAGTGTTATTCATCTCGTTCGGCAATAGATTGGTGGCGTTTCATAATGCATTTGCGTACAGAATGAATCACACTTGATCAACGTCTAGACGATTTTTTCAAGAGTGTGCGACAAGTTTTCTGCGGGAAATGAGTGTGACCATTCCGGTGTTGCATAGTTTAATTTCTTTTATACACATATTAACCCTCTAATGTATTATTTTTTACCAGAGCTGAGAGTACTGGTACTTAGTTGATTTTTGGCCATAGATAATTAAAAAAATATATTCATAATCCTGGATTCCTCATGGTTTAGTCAGAAAATGCGATTGATATAAATCATAGAACAATCTAATCCATTGTTTAAAAGTGTCGAAAATGTTCTATAGGCGTTCAAATGCGACGTTGTATGCATTAGAGGGTTAACTTAGTATATTCGATTTTTTGTTGTTGTATGAAATTAAAAAAAAGCACATCATTGGTCATTTCATGAATTGGCTTAAATTCATTCACTTTACCTCTTTCATAAATAACGATCTAAAATTTATTGGCGTAAGAGTAGACTGTGCAGCGACACAAAAGAAAATATTCATGGATCAGCTCATTTTTCATAGCGCGTTGAATTCATATTCTTGGCTTCTTGGCACGTTTTTATTCATCTCTTTCTTTCTTTCTCTTTTCTTTCCACTGCGTAAGAAATCTATAATTATTGTAATTTTTGCTATGGTTGTCATCATTATTATTTTGTATGTCTGCGAACAAAGCAGGAGATAAACAAGAACGCATGAAATGTTTTGTTTGAACAGTTGCTTGAATAATCGTGAGATCTTTGAGCTCTTGATACTGTTGCTTTCCATTTTTTTTTTTTCGTTCCCTCTTTTTTTTGTATTTCGCGCAAGTCTGACATTAATAAAGCACCTGTTAAACCAGCGCAAAAACAATTGGTGTCTTTTTTGTGTTGTTGTTGTTGTTGAATATTAAATATACTGTTTGATGTAGATAAGTTGGTTGCAAACGCAGCTTTTCGCACCGATATGAGCCTATGAATGGTAGATTCATTCTATTTTTCTAGTCCCTCCTTCCGCCATATTATTGTTCTGATTAACTTTTGTCTGTGTTTTATATTTTAACAAAACCATTTGGATTATTATTTCGTGAAAACATATGAACAAATTTTTTCTTGAAAACATTGAAAATTTTACGCCAAACACACAGTTTGGTTTTGTTGGTCAAACACACTCAAAACGCACATGAAATCACATTTCACCCCAACACAATTTTCAATTTGAATTCCTGCTCGGGTTTTTTTTTCGCTTTGCCACACCGTCCAATTCTTCATAAAACGAATGAAATGAATGCACTTCGAAGATTGCAATTAAAATGCACGAAGGAAAATAGCACGTCGTTTTGGAAACAGGCATCGTTGAGGGTGATTCTATTTCAGTCACATATTTTTCATTAAATTAATGACACAAGAACTTCAGTCATTCGGATGTAAATTCAAGCTTATGACCTTATTGGATTTAAATAGCTCAATGTGTTGTTCTTTGTATTCGATACTAAAATGCCGGAAATTCGATAAGATTTTTTTTTTTAAATACAAAACAAATGATGACACATATAAGCCGTGCAATCGAAATTGGAAATAATATTTTTTGTTTATGCATTAATTAGGTCATACGGATTGATGATGTTTCCATTTGGTAATGCAATGGTCATTGAATCGGCGTTATGTATTTCAGTAGTAGGCAATGCCCGAATTTTTCAATTAGAAAAAAAAATTTAATTGAATTTATGATAAGAATTGTTAGAAATGATGTAATTAATGATGCCTAAAATGAAACTATAAAGAATGGTCAGGGTGTTCACATCAATGAGTTATTATAACCATAATCACTCACCAGTAAAGGTCCCTCATTTTCAAAAGTTAGAGATTTTTGAGCCATCCGGATGTAGGCCTACAGTTAAAAAAGGT